CAGTGATTATGTGTTACCATGGCGTTAGCAACCAGGAAATGACACCAGTAAGGACAAACAGATGAGAATGCTGCGTGGGGTCTGCGAGACAGCGAAACGGCACGAATGGACGCAGGAAGGGGGGGGGGTTGCTGAGGGGGCTGCAGCACCCCCATCTGCGAGGCTCCACTAGCCCCCGCAGCCCCCGGGTTAATCAATGGAATAAAAAAAGAAAATAACAAATACACATGATATAAGTTGTCATTGGAAATGTGGAAATAGGACAANAGGGTCCGGTCAACTCACTATGTCCGTGCGGAGACAATACCCCACACCCATAGTATCCGTGGGTGAATAATGTCAATCACCACAACAGTCACCAATACTTAAAAAAAATCTATTATTTTTCGCAACTTTCCGCATATTTCGCAACTTCCCGCAATTTCACCGCATAAAATCACATAAAACCCCCGCATGTTTAATCGCATAATCAAGGATTTTAGCCTGCATAATCAAGGATTTTAGCCCGCATAATCAAGGATTTTTGCCCGCGTTTTTCTGGAGGGTCTATATATCCAATGGCAGGTTAAAAACAGGGCTTTTAATATAACTACCCATCCAACGGTTTCTGTCACAAGTTAGACACGTTTATTATTATTTGTTTGGTTTGGCTCATCTAAACTCTCCTGTCATTTCAGATCCCGCCTTCCTCCAGGCCCTTGTAATCAGCTCACTTCCCTCACCTGGTCTCCCCAGCCCTTCCCCTCACCTGTTACTCATTCCCTCATCACGCCACAGTATTTATACCACCTCACTATCACTTGTCCTTTGCCAGATTGTCTTGTTGTTTCCGCCAAGCTCTCCAGTGAGTGTTGTTCTCTAGCCTAAATGTTTGTCCTGCCCGGTTTTTGATCCCTGCCTGCCTGCCTGTTTACGGATCTCGAGTTCCTGCCTGCTCCCTGTCTGGTTTTGATTACCTGTCTGAGGGATTTCCTGGTTTTGACCCTGCCTGTCCCTGACCTGAATAAACTGAACATTGCAAAACACTGGTTGTATCTGAGTCGTGCTATTGGGTTCTGATCTGTACCTGTGATCGTGACAGTTTCACCATTTGGTATATTACGTGATGTTAGTTACTTCCAATATAAGGTTTGTAAAAGTATTGATGCAGTCCTAATCGTGATTTTGAATTGTGACACAAGGAGAATCTGCTTAGCCTACCTATGCAAGCTAAGCTAACTAGCTTCCACCTTCGAGGGAAATTTTCCGAAAGTAATACAAAAACGAAAGAGAAAACTGGTGTTATAGGTGCTAAAGGAAATACAATTGAAATCACTAGCTGCTCTTAACCAAAGCTTTTAGCTAGATGAAAAAATGTCCGTAGCTTAGGGCTATGATCATAAACTGTAAATATTATGGATGTTATAATAGAGATGAAGCCCATAGGATTACTACGAGGCGTTGAGAAGCTCAATATGGGTTTCTCTGTTTGTCGCCATCTTTGGTAGAGATAACACCACCAATCTCCCGGCTAATCCTAAAATGGTCAAAGGGATGGAGCTGAGACGGATTATTCAGCAGAGCAGACAGCGAGCACCAGTCAAAGCGGCTACAGATGAGTAAATCAAAATACACCCCCCATACAGATGACATTAAAGGGGAATGTAAACAGGTTTTTTTGTTTGTTATCAAACTGTTGACATATTAATGGGTATTTATGGAGATTGGCTCACTTTTGGAGCACTTTCTATAACCACCACACACACAACAACACAGACTATAACACCCCTTGTTGTTAAATACCAACTATGTGCAACATGTGCAATATATATATATGCCATTAATTACTGTGAAATATATACCTGGCTGCTAAATTACATTACATGTCACTTGTTAGACGCTTTTATCCAAAGCGACTTACATACTCAATACTGTGAACAATCCCCACAGGAGCAATTTGGGGTGAAGTGTCTCAGGGAAACAACGACATGCTGACTGCAGTGGGATTTGAACCTGATGTGCCCTCATGATCTGAACACCAACGCACTAATCCACTGCGCCACATGCCTCCCTAAATCTACAGAACTGTTACAGATGTGTATTTTGTCAATTGTGTAATTTTCTTGAATTTCTTCTTTTTTTTTATGCTCCTTAGTTAACATTAAGCTGTCTGGCTCTTTTCTGCTGTTACAAATGTACATTTCCCCTCTGTGGGATGAATAAAGGTATTCTGATTCTGAAGCTTCAAGTGGTCCTCCAACGAGCTGCATTTCTCCGCATAAGCTTCATTTTTCAACCCCTGAAAGTTTCCACTTGCTATAATGATCCAATCAATTCACCATGGAGACACATATCATAGCGTCACCAGCTTTAAACCTTTAGTCAAACACTGACAAGGGGAAACGGCCATCCTGAGCCTCAGACTGCTGTGTTCTCAATCTCGAAAACCAGTTTTATCTTCCTTTTGAAAAGCGGAAAAATTATGTAGCTGGAGTTTCACTTACACTCATATTTCCTCACTAAAAAAGTGTTTGACTTTAATTCAAAGTGAATAAATACATCTTAAAGTGTCAGTTAGTCTCTGTTGATGGAGTGTGAAATGAAACGACTCCCATCTCGTTTTTACCTCGCGTGGGAGGCATGACATATTTTCATATTCTGTGTCTACATTTCCGCTACAGCGCCTTCTCACATACTGTGCTCTGAGAAGCAAACGATGATAAATTGAGCCTTGACCTTGTCCTCTCTGCAAGCCTCTTGACTGTAATGAGAGATGCTCCACTACGCAAATGCCGGTAATTACACACAAACAGATATACACCCCTCATGCGAGCACACCACACACTGTCAAACTCTCAAAGCTTTAATTATTCACAACAAAAACCCCAAAATAGCATCAAGGATAGAGAGTCTATTTTTACTCCAAAGTCGGCTGATCTTTCCGAGCCAATTCCCACAATGCGCCAAAATCTGTCATCGGCAACGATCATTACCTTGGCTTTTGGAAAAGAGAAGACTGTTAGCAGATGTAAACCCACTACTCACAGAGGGATCTAACCAAAGACAATGTCAGACAGTGTTGACAGAGCTTTTGTTCGTATCTTTGTCCCCGTAACGCGGTGGAAAGAGAGCTTCGGCGTGGGTGCCAGTTCACGTTGTCGGCGCTGTAACTGTAAGTTGTCCGCCTTTGTTTCCTGACAGCTCATGTAGACGCAGAGGATCGTGCTCTGATTATATTGACAACCCTGAGGCATCATTAAAGCACCGTCTTTGTGTTGTAAATAAACACCTGGGAGATATGCGACGCAGAGAAAGGGAGACAGTTGACAGCCATGCAGGGACGGAAAAAAACACATCGACAGGGGATTTTTCTTCTTTAGCCTCCCGTTGTGTTTTGCTATTTACAGTAAGAGGCAAACATGGAAGCAGGGTTGTACAAATATATTCGGATTACAGATTTTTCTCCACACCACTCTGGTATGAAATGCAATCCAAGCTTGTCTCAGTGATTATTTGATTACACAAGCCAACCAAGAGCGGCCATGTTGATCACATCCCACTACCACCATGTTTCACACTGATAATGAACCATTCATTTAATCTAATTTGCTATGGGAATGTAGTAATCTTCCCCTTGAGTTGGGACAGAAATTGAGCCATCGTAATCTTCTTACTGTGCTGTGTGTGTGTGTGTGTGTGTGTGTGTGTGTGTGTGTGTGTGTGTGTGTGTGTGTGTGTGTGTGTGTGTGTGTGTGTGTGTGTGTGTGTGTGTGTGTGTGTGTGTGTGTCCTCACATGGACGAGGCGTTGGAGCTGGAAAGCCGCAGGTCGAGGGCCAGCTTCCCGGACCCCTCCTCCATCTTCCCCCTGAGGGAGGGGTCGGGGGGGGTGTGGCTCCTCGTCTTCGACCCTTCAGAAGAGGTCACCAGGTCCACGGCCATGATGACCTCGGAGCTCTGCATCTCCCCCCCACTGCTCTCCCCCTCCTCTTCCTCGTCCTCCTCGTCTTCCTCCTCCTCCTCCTCCCTCTCCACCTTTTCTCCCCCTCCTTCCTCTTTTTCCTTCCGCTCGTCCTCCTCCTCCTCTTTGATCTCCTCCCAGAAGTGAGCGGTCTCCCCCTCGATGATGGGCTGCAGGGTCTGAGTGCGCCTCTTACTGGAGGGGGACACCTGAGGGGGGGGCGGTTAATGCACAAGTGAATTAGTATCTCATGTAAAGACTGAAATACTTGAAGTTAGACGGACTTCTTAATAACAAACAAGATATAGTTAAGATTGTGATATTTACTGACGTAGTTTACGATAGCACATGTACCCAATCTGTACTAGAGAGCCTGGTGTCCTTGTGTAATAACATATGATAAGATAAGACAAGATAATATAAATCTGTATGAAACCCCGTAAGGGAACACAGGATTCAAGCGGGAACATCGAGGAGAGTGAACACAGGTACGAGTTCAAACGACACAATGATGAATACATAACTACAAATATAAATAACAATAATAAGGATTAAGGAGTACATTTTCCCTGGGGGCAATAAATCTAATCTAATCTAAGACCCTGAGATGTCTCAGTTGTAGATGGGTGAACAATATGTACGCACTTTACATAATAAATATGATTACAATGATTTACAGTAAGTGTGTAAATGTCCAGGTACAAATATAAGTGAAGATAATTATGAATAGTAAGTGTGCTAGGGTCATGAGTAGATGTGTTCATGTGTACAGATATGAAATGTTGTGTTTCTGTGTACGCACTGTGATGGGTGTGATGCTGACTCTGGTGAGCATCTGCTTGACTAATCTGTAGCGGTCGTAGAGAGGCTTCACCACCATGCGCTCCTCTCTGGTCACCTGAGGGAGAGCAAAGACGGTTAAAACAACTTTGATACGGAGTTTGAATTCATCTTCGTCACAGCATTCAGGATGTCTGGTGTCTTACAGGTCGGCCGTGCAGCCCCTCGTAGTGCAGCAGGTTCTTCTGAAGCACCGTCTTCTCACAGGACAGCTGCTCCTTAGTCATCTTCTGCAGAGACGAGACATGAAGACATTGTGATATAAGCTATTTTTATATTGTGACGCCTTGTGCATTTGAACTAATGTGTTGTTTCACAGCTGTGACCTGAAGCAGATGTGGCTACACCAGCTGACATCTTACAATGTCACATTTATGCAACACAACAAAGTCAAACTGCTATAAAGTGTAGTCTTTCGTGTCAAATCTGTTACAGTGCAGGTACACAGGTTATCTGCAGGAATCCTGAAGTCAGATGTAAAACCTTTTAAGACCTTTTTTAAGACCCTTTCCATACATTTTAAGACCTCATGGCCACTTTGAGTTCTAACCGGTTACCTTGGCGACACACTTTACCTCACATTCACTATATACAGTATTGATTGTCCTTCCTCCTTATCTTCCAACCATTTGGACGCAGACTTGCATTTCCCAATAACGATGTTGCTTAGCAACCGGCGTAAACGGACCTTCGCGCGCTATCAAGCAGTGAGCGTGCGATGTCCTGTTCAGATGACGTCCAAACGGATGCCATCAATAAACTACACAGAATCACACTACACACCTACGCAATGATTACATTCAGGCAGACTGTAGAATACAACCTCTTTGGACCATTTATATACTTATTGAAAACAAGCTACAAAATGTAAAACCTTGGAAAATGCCGTTTAATACTTTTAATAGCCTTAATTTTCGCTAAATAGATTGATCAACTTTTAACACTTTTTAAGACCCCCCCGACCCCCTGGTACAGTACAAAAAGTTATTATTATCTTATCTATATCTCTGCTGCATTGTGGTCCCTTGCATTAATACGTGTTGTCCTATTTCCACATTTCCAATGACAACTTATATCATGTGTATTTGTTATTTTCTTTTTTTATTCCATTGATTAACCCGGG